CATACATGCATACATACATACATACATACATACATGCATACATACATCCATACATGCATACATGCATACATACATGCATACATACATACATACATGCATACATACATACATACATGCATACATACATACATACATACATGCATGCATACATACATACATGCATACATACATACATGCATACATACATACATACATGCATGCATACATGCATACATACATGCATGCATAAAACAGCATATTTAGAACAAGAATCATTAAGAATTATTATGATCACAATTCAGCCCCAAAATACGAATTAATTGTAATTTTAACTTTACCAATCTTTGCCAATATCCTTCAAACCACTAGGTTTTACTCATACATACATACATACATACATACATACATACATACATACATACATACATACATACATACATACATGCATACATACATAAACGCCAAAACAGTTTTTTTAAATGTTATTATTATTATTTACATTTTTGCGGTTTCATAAATAGATTTGTTTTCTGTTAAATATATATAATTGTGTATAATATATTGAATTTGGATAATAATAATAATAATAATAATAATAGTATGTATTTATTTAAATAAATATAATAATGTCACAACAAATCATATTAGTGATGCCAAAATATATTTCATTTATGAATAAAATGTGACCAGGTTTTGTGAAATTCACCCATGTCCAACCACATTTTGTCAGTGTAAGATAAATAAATGAGGTTAAAAACCTATGGCACAATGGCTGCAGTAACTGACTGCCTTTAAAACACATGCCATCACTGCATCTTTAATTGTAACATGGCGTATTACAAACTGATGCTATCGATCTTGTGTTTCATGGAGTTTAGGGTGTGAGAGGAGCACCGGGGCAGAAAGGATCATCTGGGCCAAGAGGAGCTCCTGTGAGTAAACGTCCCGCTGGAACACATCAGCCTTAACTTTTTACCCCCTCATTGTGTCGACTGACCCGTTAAAATGGGACACTTCAGAGGAATTGGATTGTATGTAGTCCCAGGCAGCTGTAGTGCTGCTCATCAGATCAGCAGCCGCAGCCAGACAGGAAAAAGAGCAATCTGGACCGGGGTCAAACACTAACCAGCGCTCAATCCGGGACTGAGTAACAGAGCGCTCGGGTAAACAATGTTAGGGTGACCTCTGATGGTGAGAGCCAAACATTCAGCCTGTGTTTGCCATGGTCTGTGTCAGAGCAAATGCTGCTGCCACCTAGTGCTGGATGAGATCGGAACTCAGGCTTTATGAAGGTAAAAGATAATTTAAGGAATAAATGGAAATGGAACAGAATACGTCAATATGGTCTCTGAATATAAATGTCTTGCATTAGCAATGCTTCAAAGTTTAAAAATAAAACTTCCAACTTCCATTACTTTTGAACTTTATTTGACAAGCAAAATAAATAAAAACATAAAATACATACATAAAACTTTTACTGTACTGTACTTTTACAGATCACACTGTAAAAACTCTTCATCCTCAGTCTTGTTTTCCAGTTCAAATGTCTAAAGATTCCTAAATCAAGAAGCAAAATGACAAAATAATGTCATGTTTTCTGAGAAATTGATCAAAATGAAGTGAGTTGGGCTCAGAAAAATCAACTCAATTCAAAGCTAAAAAGCTTTGACAGATATTTGTTCTTGTTATAAGCATAAACTCACGTTTTGTTCAAGTTCTCAAAAAACAAGACTTCATATCTTCATTTTGTATCTCCAGTAAATGTGTCTCGATTTAAGGATGTTTCGATATTTGTACTGGAAAACAAGACAAAAATAATAAGGAAGAGATTTTTTTTTTTTTTGCGGTTCATGCAACATTTAATGTCATGACTTTATGAATTTAAGACTTTCTGCTCTGATTTAAGGCCTTTTGCGGCCTTAATTTGTCAAAACGTGAATAAAGACTTTTTATGGCCTGCAGAAACCCAGTGTATTAATATCTGTAATTTTTTTGCACATCATAATTTCATTAATTTATGCCGTTTCTGACTGTGCATTTTAGTTTAAGTTAATTTTCCTATTTTGGTCAAATACGTATCTCCTGGAGTTTTTCTGAAACTTTATTTGCAGTCCGCCGAGCGAGCCGTTGTGTGTTATCAGCATCCTGCGCTTTAGTCAGGCAGTGTTTAACTCTGAATCCTGTCTGATTAAATCCTTCAGGGCGCGCCGGGGCCTTCAGGGCCCTCCGGAGCAGACGGACTCGGCGGCCCCAAGGTTGGTCTGCTCCAAACATCACCTTTAGCAATTATGCTAATACCTTGACTTGAATCAGGTGGGAATAGCCGTGCTGAGATTACATTTATTCTGTTCCTGGATTTGTGCCCTTATCAAATGGATTATAGAAGCATGCTGAACAAAACCATTTAGGTTGCTGGGTTTGCAACAGTATTTCATTTAATATTTAGAGTGGTTAATAGTCTTTTTATCTGTATATGGAAACAATGGCTTCTTCTAGCTAGGTTTTAATGGAGGAATTATATGTGTGTGTTTATATATATATTGTCTGTGTTCAGGGTAATGCAGGAGAAAAGGGAGATGCAGGTACTCCTGGAGCCGCAGGTCAAAAGGTAAGAGTCTCGTCTTTTGTAGCTTAGATTTGCGCATTAAGTCATGCATTTGTGAGGTTCGCCTTCAGAGCTCTCTGGATAAGTGAGGTGAAGAGTTTATTCTCAGAGGTTTCGTGCGTCTCTCAGGGTGTCCGGGGTGAGCCGGGATTTCCAGGACTTCAGGGTGCCATGGGCCTTCCTGGATTTAAAGGACACAAGGTAATGCACTAGCGCTCAAAATGCAGGGTCGGGACGATGTTTTGGAAAGAAGCCTCTTCTGCTCACCAAGGCTGCATTTATTTGATAAAAAAATACAGTAAAAATTGTGAAATATTATTACAATTTCAAACAGCTGTTTTCTATGTGAATCTCTGTTAAACTGTAATTTATTTCTGTGATCAAAGCTGTATTTTCAGCATCATTACTCCAGTCTTCAGTGTCACATGATCTTCAGAAATCATTCTAATATGCTGATTTGCTGCTCAAGAAACATTTCTGATTATTATCAATGTTGAAAACAGTTGTGCTGCACAATATTTTTGTGGAAACCGTGATGCATTTTATAAGTAAGGATTCACAGATGAACAGAAAGATCAAAAGAACAGCATTTATTTGAAATAGAAATATTTTGTCACATTATAAATGTCTTTACTCTCACTTTTGATCAATTTAATGCATCCTTGATGAATAAAAGTACTGACTTCTTTATTTAAAAAAACAAAAAAACAAACAAAAAAATTCATACTGGCCATAAACAGTAGTGCTATGCAATCATATACTGAAATTATATCCATGGCGAGCTCATGGGCTGGATTCCCAGAGACACACATGCTGATAAGATGAGGCTTTGGATGAACGTGTTTGTCAGGTGAATAATTAAGCATCTGAAATGTTTCAGAAAAGTTTCTGAAGTGCAACACCCGGCAAAACCATAATAAGGTCATACCTGTGCTTTAAAACATGATAGACCATCTAGTTCCAGCTACATTGTTTAGCTTAAGCTGATATGACCAGTTTTTTTTCCAGCTGAGCTCTGGACCAAGATTGTTAAACTAGAAACCAGCTTCCATGTTCTGAAACACCTAGCTGTAGTTTCCAGCAGGGATGTGCTTGAGCTTGAGGTTGAACATGCTACTCACGGTGCATGCAGTATGTTTTATGTAGGCTATACATGCATATGCATACTCTATATGCAGCATTAAGATGCGTAGAGAAGTGCCAGTGCTGTCACTGCCATATATCTATTAAATCACTTTGGATAAAGCATCTGCTAAATGATTGCTTGCATGGAAGATATGCCTGATATACTGGCGTTTCAGCTCATTAAATGTAGTTTTTGATATACTGATATGCTAGAGAACAGAAGGTAGAAGTGAGTCGATATTTCTCTTTTATTTTCAGGGAGAGAGAGGAGAACCCGGACTCAAAGGCATTCAGGTGGATCCCAGTCATTTATGTCACATTTAAAAACTGCTTTTGACTAATACTGATTAATAGAAATAAGTCATCAGAGGCTGATTTCTCAGAAAACTCTAAACTCTGGATCTCATTGCTGTGTTTGTTTGAGTGTCTGGCCAGCAACAGTTTGGGGCGGAGCTATCTGTTTGATAAGCAATGGCAGACAGGGGTAGTGATTGCGAAACCTGTTTGGAAATATTGTTTTTGAAATTGTGTTGGTGTCGCTAGTGATGCAAACATGAAACACAAGTCCAATAAACCAAAATGTTTAAGCTTCAAAAAGAACACAAAGACACTATAAAAGAAATCAATTTTAGTACAAGTCTTCTGATTAATATGATAAACAGATTTAATTTATTCACATTTATCCACGTAAAACATTGATGAACACACATACATAGAGCACATCATATATGTTAAACAGAAGCTCAATAACTTAATAAATGAGATGATGAACCATGTTTTTTTTAATTTTTATTATTTCCCATATGACAAAATATATAGGCTATTTAAATATATTTCAGTTTGGCTTTTTATTGTTTAAACATATTTTAAAAATGTAAATTTACTTTTAAAAATATATTTAAAACTATATTTTGCCCTCCATATATTTACATTCATAAAAATAATTTCACATGTGTCACATTTGAAGAAAAAGTTTGTTTGTTTATAACTTGTGTGAATATTATAACACATTTGAATTAAAATCAGCAGGAACATACTTTACAATGTTCCAAAAAATTATAATATTGCAATATATATATATATCAATAAAGAGAACAAGAATAACTTAAAGGCAGAGTAAGTGGTTTCTGGTAGCCAATGTTGATATTTGAAAACACCAAAACAAACACGGCCCTACCCCAAAAGGGTCTTGCCCCTATTTTGATAGCTCCGCCCTACATATACGTACGCAACCCAGGCAACGATTAGTTCTGTGAAACAAAGCAAAACCAATGTTACACCGTGTCTACGGACGTGAGCGGCGCGGCGCAACAAATCCCGACAGAAAACTGCTGCCGGGTTCTATTTATGACGTGCTGACACAAATTTCAAATGGTTTTCAACGGTCGTTTGATCGCGTCCAGTGTAGTCAGACTTTAGCTGTTGTAGACACGGTGTTACTCACCTATTGAGAAGAAACAAAGCAACCTCGGCGTCCGATCGCAGGCCTCCGCTCCTTGAGTTCTCTCCAGCGCTGGAAAGCTGATCCGATATTTTCACGGGTCCTACTTCTTGCCTTATCTTTCCGCAGACGTTTTCCTCTTTTGTTTTTTTATCCGCCATCTCTATCTTTCTGTCGCTCGGCTAATGTCCGTCCCATGCACTGAAAGCGCTCTCCTCCACATGACGAGTAGACACGCCCCTTATTGCTGATTGGCTACAAGTTTGTTTTGCGATTCGGCCCGAATCAGTTTTCTAAAGTGTTTTTGAAAAATCACTTACTCTGCCTTTAAACGGATGTGACGCAGTCTTCTAAAGGTTATAGAGAACCACCTGCTGTTTTTGAATGCTAACCTTTCAGAGTTTGAGACCCCTGCTAACACAGGCCTCCTCACGTTCACAGGGTGAAAAAGGCAGCAAAGGCTTCCCAGGACCGCCTGGCTTTCCAGTAAGTGTGCAAACTCCTCTCATCTGCTTACAGCACTGCACCTCAACATCGACCGCGGTTATTAGAACAGTCAGAAATTCTGAATTTAAGAAGTGACTCAAATTAGGAGCTGGAATTTGAACTGGAATGACAGGAAGAGGAATTCACTGAATTGAAATGAAAATGAATTGAGTGAAGTTACACAACAGAGGATGTATTGCAATATAAATAATTACATCATTAATGTTTCTGGGAAGACAGATTTGTAATTTCTGGTTAATTTATACCTATATGTATATATATATATAGACTTAGAAGTCTCTTCTGCTCATCAAGGCTGCATTTATTTGATCAAAAATACAGAAAAAAACAGTAATCTTGCAAAATGTTATTACAATATAAAATAATTGTATAAAAAGTTCTTAAACTGAACTGCTACATTCTAATACTTTTATCCTGTAGAATCATTTTTTCTTTGCAAGACATGGGCCACACGGGTGTTGTCGGGCCGCGTGGATTCCCCGGTCAGGACGGTTTGCCAGGGCTTCCCGGCGCTCCGGGCTTTCCAGGGAAGCCTGTGAGTATTCTTACATTTCTCACAACTACACGATAGCAATTACAATTTTTGTTATTGCCACCAGGTTTTTCCTTTCACAAGAAATAAACACATTGTAAACAAAGTACGGCATGGGCTGGGGCAATGTCAGGACGCATCATTTAAGAT